CAACATCATCAAGCATGTATCGAGAACATTCAATTTTTCGTACCAACTCTTAATGCAATAAACCCAACAGATGCTTGGACAATCCAAGATATAGGATGAGTTAAAGTATACAAAAATTTCAAAAATTAACTATTTTACCTTAAAATTTCACTCCAACAGAATATCTCCAATCCCAATCGGTGGATATATTATCCACCTTCCATTGAAAAAGTCTCGTTTGTTATGCCAACCCATATTTGGCATGAGCAATATTATTAGGAACTAATTTATCGATCTATTTTGTTGACCTAATTGATTATGATATTTGGATTGAGTTAGGCCCCATTAAACACCNTAATAATAAAGCACGCAAATTGTGTTTCGGAAAAATGCTTAGGGGGAAAATAAAGCTCCACGTGTGACAACTTAGTATGACTTTTGCCACCTTAGCCCCTTGTACTGCAAACGTCAGACTATTTCCCGCACAAATTTTTTTTTANTCAAATCTTTAAGTCAAAATAACATTATTTTAAAATTAATGTTGAAGTTATTAGGCCCAATATAATTAATCTATGAAATTATTTTGATTAATGTTCTACATTTTTCATTCCTTTTGACTAAAATGTCCTTATGAGAATCTAATGTCGGGGCAATATAGTAATAATTTGATATTTTATAACTTTCTATTANTTTTGCCACCTTAGCCCCTTGTACTGCAAACGTCAGACTATTTCCCGCACAAATTTTTTTTTAAAAAAAATATATATATATAGTAAATTTTATTTTTTAACTTATATTATATCATTTATCTTTAAATTTGAGACATTTTTCGTATGTGGGGCCTAAAGCTCGCGCTTTTATATTTATATTATAGAGTCAAGTCTGGTATTAGGCATACGATACTGTTTAAAAAATTAACATGTGATCATTTCTATCAAAAAAATTTGATGGTGAAAGTTATGCCACACCACTTGGGATGAAAAATTATGTTATAACTTTTGGTTAGCATAGTATTATTATTTTTCTTAATGTTAACATGGTGCAATGATTATATTCAATATGAGTTGAATTAATAATTAGTATTTATAGCATATTAAATATTTTTTTTTATGAGTATTAACACAAATACAATACGAGTTATAATAACAAGATATAAAAAAAACAACACGTGAATAATTAGACACGACACGAAACGAAACAAAACAAATTGACACCCCTTTTATGAATGTCATCATAAATACTTAAAAAAAGGGTAACACATATTGAGTTAGATAAAAAAAATAAGGTGGGGCTAGTNCACGTGAATAACTAGACACAACACAAAACAAAACAAATTGACACCCCTTTTATGAATGTCATCATAAATACTTAAAATAAGGATAACACATATTGAGTTAGATAAAAAAAATAAGGTGGGGCTAGTTGTGACATGCGTAGTTTTNACACGTGAATAATTAGACACGACACGAAACGAAACAAAACAAATTGACACCCCTTTTATGAATGTCATCATAAATACTTAAAAAAAGGGTAACACATATTGAGTTAGATAAAAAAAATAAGGTGGGGCTAGTTGTGACATGCATAGTTTTAAAAGTGGGGTCGGACGTCACTCTGAGAAAAAAAAATTCGGGTCAATTAATTATTGGACCCATTGTTAGGTTATTGGTCGAACTAATAATAGTAATAAATAGACTAAAAATTACAACTAAAATGCTTAATAATCTATATTAAATCAAACAAACCCCCCCNTAACATTATTTTAAAATTAATGTTGAAGTTATTAGGCCCAATATAATTAATCTATGAAATTATTTTGATTAATGTTCTACATTTTTCATTCCTTTTGACTAAAATGTCCTTATGAGAATCTAATGTCGGGGCAATATAGTAATAATTTGATATTTTATAACTTTCTATTAATTTATTAATCCACCGTCTTGATCGTTTACATTAACATCTATTTTGGCTAAAAGATACTGTTTATATCGGGTCAGATCCGAATAAATTTTTTATTTTTTTATTTTTTCTCAAACATGGAAATTCCAAGCACCTCCCTAAACCATAAACACTTATGAATCGAATATAAATGAACGTGGAACTATCCAAAATAAAATTTCAATTTTTTTTTTTTTTTGGAAATTGGCTGCATAGTTGATTTTTTATTTTTTTAATTCAATGATCAAATAAGTCTCCCCGACCATAAAAAAATTAAATTTAATTAAAGAAAGTAATCAACGAATAATGACATGCATTTATATCGTAGCCATTAGTCGCAATGGCACGTGATTCAGACGATTTATTTGTTAATAAAATCTAAATATGACAATATTAATCACAAATTATATCATGAAAAATCGTTTTAATCTCAATTTGTACTCTAAAAGATAAAAAATATAAATTTATAATTTTAAAGATATAAATTTGTATCAATGTTGTAAGAGACAAAAAATTAGAATACGTCATACAGGAATGAAAAATTGTCATTTTTGATAAAAATGAGTTTCTGAATTTGATCTCCCAATCTTTCTTTCCTGTAAAACAAATGAACTATTCAAAATCAAAGGTACTCCGATACTTAAGTCAAAAATGAAACAAAGTCAATCGTAAAAAGATAAGGAAAGTTCAGCGTACATTTCACCTTAGCTTCTTGTACTTTTTAAAGGACTTTGTTTAGTTAGGATTTTCATGATTTTCAATTTAAGATGACACACTTTCCTTCAATTAGGTGACTCTATTCAAGAAGTTGTTAAGATCTCTCCACTAACTTCTTCTACTGAGCCTATGATCATGCCTATTCATTTGACCATAATGCCTAAATTGTATGCATCTTTTTAGCACCAAGTCTACAGTTTGAAACAACTTGGTCAAGACGAGGGCCGGGCTCATTCCCTCCTTCTCGAGCTCTTAGAATAGCTTAATTGCGCCCTAATGCCCGAGTCTAATGATGTCTTTCTCACGGGATTAGCCTTGTCACCCTCACGTGGTATCATTTAATACGATCACACGTGTCATATAAAGAACAAACTCCTTCAAATGCGTACTTAAAACTAACAATCGTTAATTTGACATAAAAAATTAAATAAATAAATTATAGCTAAAACCCCTCATATTCATCACATAACATACACCTTCAGAAAATCTAAATATGACTAAAAATGTTCTCTCAACTGGACATTCAAATAATTCTGTTTAAGTAATATATTGTATTAAGTATATAAAAAATATTATACAAATACCAACATTATACTAACCACTCAAATAATAAACTTAATTTTAAACTTTAGGGTACACTAGACCCATAAAATAAAATTTTTTATAAAAATTATAATTTTTTATTAAAACAAAATCATGTTTTTTACGGATTATATTAATAAATATCAATGACAAATAATTATATGTTACATATGTACAAACGTAAAAAAACATAAGAATAATATTTTAAATGTGAGGAGACCAAAATGATTAAAAAGTGACAAACTTAAGGAAGTCCAAAGTGCAACTTCCCCAACTAATTTTAGCTGACTGCTGTTAACTCTAAATACACATTGATACAAATTTATATTTTTGAGAATACAAATTAAATTTTTTTTACTTTTGAGAGTTCAGTTTGTGATTAACCCAACACAATAAGTTACTCACAACAGTCATTAATGTACAATAAGGTTGCCATTCATGAGTCACGAAGCTCCTTGTCCTAAACACAACGATTAGCACCATTACGCTAGCTCTTTTGTCTTCATCAACTACATATTCCATTAACAATACAATACCAGTAGAACTCCCGCAGTCTCTACCATCTTCTCCCAGTTTACGCTTAGTTGAAGGGTAGCCTGAGGGGAGAAAAGATAACATAGTAAAAAGAGGAAAATGTGGCCTAAAATTGAATAATTTTTAAAGACTAGCAGAAAATAGAACAGTCGCAACATTAATATTTGAGCAGTAACCATACAAGTTCTATCAATCGAAAGCAAACTCTAACTTTGACATGAAGATTGAATCGTTCAACAATGGACTTGTTCATCACACACACATAGGTTTGCGTCGTTTTATATTTTTTTGGAAGCAACAGTGCATCAACATAAATGCTATAAGCAAACTTCCCTAAAGCCAACCCAAGAAAACAGCCTCAACATGATCCTAAGAAATTGAATTGAAATCATTATACAGATTGGTAAATATATTGTTAGTCAAATCATTAGGTGATATACTGACTTAATTCGCTGATTTTAGTTACACTGCTTTGAGGGTATAGTGAGTTAGTGGTGTTAATCGAAAACGAGTTTTACGAGTTTAAACCCAAACTTATTGAGCTCAATTTTTTTTAATGAGTCTAAAAAATTATTCAAGCTCAAGTTGTTTATAAAATAAGTAAATCTAAGGAAGTCAGGCCAGGGCTGAACCCGAGTAATTCAATTTTTTTTCTATAAATAAGCCGAGTTTTAAAAGTTCGAACTGAACCTTCTAAATTTTTTTTTCAAGAGCCTGAAAATTATTCAAACTCAACTAAATGAGTCCACCTCAAACCATGCCCGAGTAGGACCATAAAAATATCCCAAAACTCTACTGTTAAAAAAACCGAATTTAACTATTTAGAAGTAAAGGTGAACACAGAGACAATGCCTATCAATGAATAAATGTACGGTTGATATATTTGTAATAATCAATTTCCCTGTGATTTTCAAACGTACTCCCCTCTTTACGGTGGTGGTTTCAAACTCATTCCAATCTACCAAAGTTTCTATTCTTTGTTTCAAATTGCGTATTCAAGGTTTTCTAGCACATTTTTTTTTTTTATAGAAACTACAATAGATCTTAAAATGAGTTCAAAATTAATGGAGTTGCGTTTGAAAACCACACTAGTCTTTGTTAAAAACGTCTGTGCATGTAATAGAACTATATAAGGCTTACCCTAGTTTCAACGAGGTGTCGGAGCAATAATCCTCACGAGGTGGACCACTGTTGCAGCTGCTTACATTGGTGACCGACTCCGGCGACTGTCCCCCTTCGGGAATCAAATTATCCAATTGATCAGTGATAATATTATTAGTACGCCAATTTCCTTCAGAAATCATCACCATCTGCAGACCATTATCCTCCTCAACCCGTGATTGCCTTACTTGCTGTTTCAATCGCCTGTTCTCTTCCCTTAGCTGATCACCCTGCCATGTTTACAACAGGAAGTTCCATGAAATGAGGAGAGGAAACAGACTTGCTTACCTAGTAAGTTTGAGATTATGGTATTCTCACCGAGAACATAAGGAAGATTATGGTATTTCACTATTGATTTTTCAAGTAAAAGTAAGCTCAAAGATAACAAGACCCAGTTTGATTTGCCTCTCGAAAACTGGTTTTCTGTATTCGAAAAATAATTTGAGAGAAAAATTATTTGGCCAACAAACTTTTGTGTTTTGTTATTTGGAAACTGAAAATAAAAAATGGATAAATTTAAAAACCAAATTATGACTATTTTGTGTGTTTTCAAAAACATTTCAAAAATTTAGAAAACACCACCACCATCATTTTACTCTTTTCTATTCCGTAGAATTGTTTTTTAGAATCCTATTCTCAAACTTTTCTCAAAAATAATTTTTAAATACTGTTTTTTTTTAGACACAAACTAAACAGGATCAAAATATTCCATATTTGAACATTCTTTCAACAAAAACAAACTCAAAATTTTATGTGAAAATGTCTTTTCTTAGGAAAAAACCCTAACTACCCAAAATCAATACCACTCAAACACAACCAAAAGATGGTTTTCAAACCTTCCTTTGAAGGGCAGCAATCTCATTCGTGATTCGTTCACCCTGAAAGAAATGAAAATATCGGTATGTTAGCATCTTTGACTCTATCTTATATTGTAATTGCTATAGGAAAGGAATTAAATAATAAACCCAAAAAAACAAAACACAGAAAAAAAAAGAAAACCTTTGTCTCAAGCACACGGGTTTGTCCTAATTCGAGCATTTTCTCCAATTGCTGCAATTCTTCCAAGTTTAATCCAAGAAGATCCTCGCCCATCAGCTGCCTGTTTAGAAGACAGGTTACGTTACGTACTTGATGCAATAGAACTCAAAATAAGTGGCTCATTACTTTTCAAATTATACCTCATTTGGTGACTCTTATCTGCGAACTCCTTGCTAATGCTGATATAATCACTGTTCTGAGTGGTGTCGAGCATCTACAAGAAACATTATGCATCTCAATCCAATTTCTTACTTTATGATCATTAGTAAAGCCCAAAAAATCATCAGCTAGAAGAAAGAAATACGTTCAGGAAATCATTAATAATATAATTTTCCTTCTCCTGACACGTTTAAGATATGCATGATCGTTTTAGAATATAGGATAGTTAAAAAGAAGAAACAATTGCTCAAACATAGCCATTTTTTAAGCACATATGATATGAACACAAGGCTTAAAACTCAAAAAAGTCCTTGTGTGTACGCAGTGGGACAGGACTGTTTTCGAGTGCTTAAAACTATGAAGAACTCAATTGTCATGCCACAGCAAATGAAAATGAAGATATTCCCACTTGACAAATCCCTCTATTTGTATTGTTAAAATAACTATAACGAGAGATATAAGACTCCTAAAACATTTTACCTGCAGTTCAAGACAAGGTCGTTCAACTTTCTCAAGCTTATTTTGCAGCTTGTACTTGGCAAGAGTGTCCTTCATGCTTAACACCACCCAAAAACAAGAGAAATAATTAAAGGGTTACCAAGTTATTTATAATGCATAGTTTTGCAATTATAAATGTGATTCTGAATCTTGTTTAGTGTGTTTGCAACATTCAACATGTAACCTCCGGAGGAAAGAACTTTCAAATGTTTACGCTTTCTATTTTGTAAGAGCATACCCCCTTGACTTGTACACCGTAGTCATCTCAGTCAAAATAAATTAATGACTTTTAGCAGGGAAAATGAGGGTCGGGTTTCAACAGTTTCAGCCCCAACTACACCAGGTCATAAAGATGCAATCCCGGTAAACAAAAGTCCCAATCACTAAATGATCCGTGCATGGAGTATCAAGTTAGATGTACCTAATCTTATCTTGCATGTAGAGAGTTTTCATTTTAACTCAAACACTTGACTTACATGCCATAATGGGACAATCTTACAGATGCACCTGGTCACATACATAGCAATGATCATTTAAAGCATCCATGCTGCATCAACTTGTGAACACAAGGCCTAGCTGAACCAATTAACAGAACATATAAAGAATTCATGTGAACTTATCATTTATGATTGTCAATTTTTTGGTTCCTAGGAATATTAAGCTATTTCATCGGTTTATATATACAAGAAAAGCTTTGTAAAACCTACGGAGCTTAATCGAAGTTAAACAGTTGTGCCAACAGGTCTTCAATTCCACCTTGCCATGGTTGGAATAGTGAACCATCCACCTCAACAAAACTAACTTCAATTTATCTATATAACATAGTGAGGGTACTAGTATCAGGCATATCCCCCAAACAAATGCAAACATACAGACACCATTTGAAATAGCCATACAACAAGGAAGTAATGTTCTTTAAAATGAAATTTTCATCTTAGCTATAACAAAAAGCCTAAGGGAGCGGACTGAAAAAATACTGGTAGCATGTGTCTCCTACATTCCTCATCACACAAAGAACAATTTGTGACGAGTCCTATTCTTTACATAAAAGAACTATAGAATTTTATCAGCTGTTGACAAGGACAAATAAATCTGAATTGGTTAGAATATAATGTGTGAATGAACCACGCAACAAAAGCTCAAAGTGGAATGGGTGCACTGAGAGCTCATTTCAGGTCACCAATCAGCTTAAACAATCTAGTGGAAAGCATGAGTTCAGAAACATACATAGCTCTTACTAGTGAGTGAAGGAAGGCCAACCTCAACTTGGCTCGCCTCATTAACCGGATCGTGTATGGCTCAATCGTACAGAATGTTTATGGGGCAATTAAGCGTTAGTAAGGTTTATCCCGAGTTAATATTAGAGTCGCGAGTCCTAGGCATAAGGTAGGCACAATTCACAGTTAGCAGAAAAATTGGTAGCTAGGGCACCTATCTTGTGCAACTGAGTCCTGAGTTATACAAGGCTGTGTACAAAAGCAACAGAGACAACAAGTTCCTAGCTGTCGAAATGCAATAAACGCCCACGACATGATTTTTATACTTGCAAAAATCATTTACACATTGTTTTGGCATAGCCTAGGAATTTCATAAGAATTTTGTGGCCAATGGAGAACTTCATCATCTTGCATAATATCTGAATTTGTGTACTCCTGTGATTTGTCCCCCTCAAAACCATAATTTTTCCCTCCCAGACAAGCCCATTTTCTTACACTAATGTTATTGAAATATAATTTAGAGACTTAATGTATTGTGACAATAAGATTGATAGTGGAGCACAATCGATGTTGGGACCATAGACAATTTAATGACTACACAATCATTTTATCCTCAAATTATGTCTCAATAGTATTGATCATTTTCTTAACCCTACTCTGTCAGTGTCATAATTTTTTCTGCTCGAGTCATAATTTAATTTCTACCAAGCACAGATGCACGAATAAGTATCAAAACCAGTTTAACAAAGCAACCACCTGTAGCAGGGTCTGAAATAAACCCAGGTGTTAAATACTTTTAATGTGAAGAGGCTGATTATCGAACTCGAACCGATCCTGCGTGCTCCATGATGAATTCTTTCTGGTCTAACCTATTTTCTATGAAATGTTAGCTGTTAACATACTTGCATTACTGAGAGATCACAAATGAGCTAATTAAATTTGCCCTTCTTCCTTTAACTTTTGATATTTTTCGTAGTATTAATGAAAGAGTAATGTTATTGAACCATGTCATACATAAATTAGATGTGCAGAATAGATCATTTTTTTTGTTTTCTGGTAACCCCCCCCCCAAAAAAAAAAAAAAAAAACNCCCTAGAGACGAAGTTTTAGTTCAGATCTGGATGAAGAAACCCAGAAAAAGGCAGCAATCATTGGTCGTGAGCATGCAAACCTCACAAAGAGGGGGAGATGTGATCTGTAGATTGGTGGGGTTGTTACAGTTTTACCTTGTTGGGATTGATTCAGGAGAGGTTTTTGGGGAACTTAGTGCGTTGATCACAGCTACCAGCCTACCACCGAAAGGCAACAACTATAGGGAGAGAGAGAGACTTGGGAAGGATTAAAGCTCCAGAAAGGAAAGTCTACTTTCCTCTTTTATAGCAAATACCAAATCCCTATTTATCATCTGCCTCGCCTCATTTGCCTGAAGGTAGCAAATAGGTTCTAATAATGGTATTGAAATATTATTCTTCCATTTCAAATTTTTATATCGAGGATGACTACCATATCGAAATTGATATTATAAGAAAAGTATAAAGTTTTGAATTATAAATTATAACGGTAAAATAATATTATAATGGACAATAAAAATTACAATTTACAAAAATTATAACTTTTAAAAGTAAAATTATACATTTTAAAGTTAAATTTACAATTGATTTTATTTATGATCGGTCACAATATTTTTATGATCGATCATAACTTTTTTAACATATAATTTAAATCCTAAAAAAATTATAACTTTTTCTTAAAACATTATAATTTTTGGTATGATATTGTATTCAATTACCGTAGTCATCTTCTAGTCCTCCTCAATTAGAGGTGTTAATCAAAACAAATTATTTGGGTTCGATTTATATAGAACTCGGATCGAGCTCGACTTGTATTTTAAATTAGCTGAGTTTGAACAATTTTTCCTAAAAAACTCAGCTCGAGATATCAAAACTTGACTTAATTATACGGAAAATAGGTGAATTACTAGAATTTAGCTTGGGTTCTGCTCAGACTCAGTTCAACTCATTTTTTAAATAAATAAAATTTTAAAATTATTTTAAAATTATTTTAAAAAATAAACTCAATAAATTCAAATTCAAATTCTTAAAATCTAACCCAACTCGATTGACATCTTCTATCGTACTAGTTCTCATATTTGGAAGGATAAGGTTGTGGTGCCACCAAAAAATGAGAGCTCAGAATCGAATGAAATCTAGAAGGACAGTTTAATTTAGTGTTTATGGGAATAAAATAATATTATTAAATAGTGGTTTCGTTTTATGTGGACGGTGGCTCTCCGTACTCATAGGCCATGCTGCATAACAAGCATGGCTATGTGAGTAATTACATACTTGTACCCTTTATTGCATTGCTCTATTCTCAACAACTTTGATTTCCGAATATCGCAATAAAGGTTGTGGTACCCATATTGCATTGGTTTATTTCTATTTTTTTTTTTAAAACGATTTGGGATATTCAGATTTAACATATATTAATTTCACTTAATTCTTTTTTTGATTTAATAAAAAATATATTAGTGTTTATGATGATTGACTCTCACAAAATTATTAAGATTTAAATTCAGAATATCTGAATTTATAATTCGTTCTTTCTATTTTAACTATCTAATGGAATTTTTCTCCAGATAAATTTGTCATACTTGGTTTTATGAACTTAGGATTATTTACTTTTTAATATTGTTTAGAAAATTTGATAACGTAGGTTGAGGGTGGCATCCACTCAATCCAGACTATGAAGACGTGCTAATCAAGATAACAAAAGATTTTCTAAAATTGTGAGTATTCAGATTTTAATTTAAGAGTTTTGCTTTAAAAGTTTTATATTTACCAAGTTTAGTAGTATGATGTATGATGATGCTCAAAAATAATAGCTCAAGCCCAGCCGATAAAATATCTAGGGTTTGAGTGTAATTTTGTGATTAGAAGATTAATTTAAGGGAATTGAAAGAACACATAACATAAGTGGCGCACTTTAGCCGAAAGAATAAGACTACGTCTATTGTAATGGTGTATCTTGTTCCTTGAGATCGTATATTGCTTAATCTTTGATGAGTACAACGATGATACAAGTGTTGAGCTGTTTTTATGGGGTTGTGTATTATATTCTAACTATTAGGTTATTAGTTTGATAGCGCGAAAACGTAAGAAGACCCTTCTGTTGGGTAACAGTTTTCGCATTTATACAATGACTTTTTTAAGGTTTCTTGCTGCTCCTCCTTCTTTTGTGCTGATTTTATGGGTCTTTTCGTTTGTACCCTATGGCAGCATCTATCATTCGACGCCACTGCTCATCCAGCGGCACTGTTCCCATGATATTTGGTGATTATGCGCCCTACTCTCCTCTGCTCTGTGATTGCCACAAGTGTCAAGAGCGGTCCTCGTGATTTTAGGACACGCGGCGTGACAAGATACTCCGGAGTTCGTATCAAGCTGGGGCTCTCTACCCTAGGCTGCTCATCGACGGGGTCGAATTGGAGTTAGGCTGGGTTACAAGCCCTCAAATGTGGTTGGGCTTTTCCCCCTGGCTGGTCTTTTAGACTTTTGACGTGGGCAAGCTCTAGACACTCCATTTTGGGTTACTGGGTAGTCAAAAGGTTTCTGGACTCATTGGGTTCCTAAATTATAGAGGTCGATGCCTTAATTTTCGTACTTATCAAAATATATCACCTCTCACACTTCATACATAATTTGGTCTCTTTCCTTGTTCACAAAAATAAAATGGGTCTAAGTAGGAAATAAAAAACGAATTTTTTATTATTATATTTTCATTTTTTGTCTAATAAAAAAATAACATAAGTAAAATTTTTTTTTATTTTATAATATTTTTATAATTCTTAAATTGTAGATCGAGAGTCATGTAAAAATTAAGGAATTACTGTAAATGAACATTCACATTAAATAATACTATCAATTTAATTTGTACAAACAATCTAATACTATGCAGTTGATCTAAGACCAACCATAATCACAGGCATCTTAAACTACATTTTATTTGTAACTTCTATCTATGATGATTTTAGATATCTAGAGTTAATTCTTCCAATTTAATCTTATTTTTTGATAGATAAATTGTGAAAAAAAAAGAGAGAAAATTTTCAGCCACATCATTTCTAATTTATCATATATTTAAGGATCTCTCTATTATTTTTTGAATCATCACTGACACCCCGGTCAAATTAAAAGTTTTAACTGAAGTATAATTATATTAAATTGCCCATAATATATATTAGAAAAATTTTCATTCACATCCTCTCTAGATCGATATATCTTCAATGAGATCCCGTATATTTTATGAATTTTTTTATATATTAAAATTTGGGTCGATTAAAATTCGATTCGAGCTAATTAAAATTTGTGTTTTAATCGACTCGAATCAAATTTTAATCCGTTTGAATTTTGATACATAAAAACATTATAAATTTTAATCGATTCAAATTTTAATATGTAAAAATGAAATTTAATCAACTTGAATAGAAATCTAATTGACAGAAATTTTGATCAGTAAAAAAATATAAATTTTAATCGACTCGAATTGAATTTTAATCTGTTCAAATTTTAATATATAGAAAAATAAATTTTAATCGGTTCAAATTTTATGCAAAAAAATTATTCAAGATTTATGTAACAGCAATTTTAGATGAATTTTTTTTATTAGAAATAGTGGTTTAACGATAGGTGGTGTGAATGATGTTTAAATGTAAGTAGTAGGGATGTCATTGATATTTTAAATAATAAAATAGGTTTCTTTAAGGATATAATCTATACTATTTTAAAAAGTATCTATCTTTGAAAAACTTTAATTTTTCTCTTTTACCCTCTAACATTTCTTAATTATCTAAACTATCATGAATAAATATATTATAAAGACAATACAATACACCTTTTATTTATTATATCAATATCATTTATGACATACTCCTCATATTCTAATTTCTCTGTTAAATTATTAGTTTATGAAACAAGAGAGATGGAGGGACACAACTCCTAAAAGATTGTCCATCTTCCTCTATATATCTATCTATCTATACTATATATCTATATTTATATTTATATTTACTCTACTCTTAAAAGGCTACTAAATAAAAAAAAATTGTCGTCATTATCCTCAAACAATTGTATAAAATTAAATTAGTACTAGATTTAATTATCATAATTAATTAATTAATCTATATACTAGCAACAACTGTTCATTAACCTAATTAAGCTATTTGAGTTAAATTACAACATCACTTAAATTGTGGAAACTTGATCGTTATTGAAACTGGGTAGAAGTTATTTGACCATTATCAAAGCTTTATCTGGATTGAAGTTAAAAAGGGCTAAGAGATCACTAAAAATACCCATCAGATATTTTCCTCGCCAACAAATACCCATCAGCTTCGTCTTCTCTTTTGCAGCTGCCAACAAAAACTACAACCATCATTTTAATGAATTATCAAATTAGATAATTTTCACTGATTGATTTTGTACTTTTTATCTTAGTTTTTTCTCTTTCTCGGTACAATGTTTATAGTGGTTATAATCTAAACCTAAAGACATTGGATATCAAACAAGGGTGTGTTTTATGATGGTGATGGTGTTTGGATTTAGGCATGTATATGTTTCTCATGTCGCTTGCGCTGGTATCTTTGATTTTGGTTCAACAACACAGTTCCCAAGATTTTTTCGATTTCAATTGCTTTTTTTGTTCATCCCTCTATCTCTGTTTCTTATTTGAGATTTTTTTTTGGGTTTTTCTCGTTGTGTACATACAATAATTTTGGGTCCTTTGGATTAAATAGTTTTTGGTCTTATCATTTTGATTTATAGTGCATGTAATGTTTTTTTTTTGGTCAAATGTCGTAAACTACTTAGACATATGGGCTGCTTCTAATTTGATTTTTTTAATTGTGGGTATAATTTTTTAGACTTATTTGATAAAAAATGTATGGATAAATTGTTTACTTTATTAAGTTCAATTTTAATAAAACATATTGTGTTTAAGTACAAAATTCAAATAAAATCAAAATTTTTTTATCTAAATACCCTCCCTTAAATTATGC